ATTTGTCAAATAGTACTAGAAAATGTACTCCTTTATTTGTTCCCCTGGAAATCTGTATTAAGATTCAGCATCTGCTCTCTCTCACAAGGTTCCCATGGAAAAACCTTCATACCACAACTCCTGAAGGATGGCAGAGGCATTTTGCTTGCTTAACATAAGAAAATAGCTCTAAAAGATGTGAAGTTTGAGGAAAAAAGAAAGTGATTAACAGTCAGGGTGTCTGCAACAGTGTGGGAAAAGTGTTTAAGAGAACTGAGGACAGTTGTTTGTTGATGCATGTCAGACACTGGTGCTCATGAGGAGATGGCACTCAGCCAGTGGCCAACCATAGGTTCGCTCGGAGTTGATTACTTATACTTACTGATAATATACACACTACTTTTGAATGTGAGGATTACTCAGGAATGTGTACATGCATCAACCAACGTTGATATTGATATATGAGCCCAGTCCCAGAACATGTGCAAGCACACACACGTGGTCTCATTTAGACAGTCCACCTGGACAAATCCTGGTTAGCTGACACAGAAATGTTGTGTGTTCAGACTGTCCAGCATTGCATTGTTCTCTCATTATAACTATGATCCATGTCCTCAGTCCTTACAGCTCATTCTGCAAACTTCTCTCTTTACTCTCTTTACTTTCACCGCTATGAACAGACATTCTGCACAAATATAAACTAGTAAAAGAGCCTGACACAGTTAGACACTGGAAGCCACTGGAAGACATGAGCAGATGCATGAGCAGAGTCGATGTTCTAAACTAGTATATAAATGAAATACTGCAACTGATTTAATTAGCCTTAACTTGAGCTTGACCCTTAGTCACTTACGAGTACCATATGAGAGCGAGCTCCTCTGCAGGCTACTCCTTTTTAGGGAGTCCTGTCCTGTCTTCTTCATTTTATTTTTCCTCCTCTTGTCTACAGAAATGTCAGAAACATTTCACAGTGTTTTTGTACACTGATATCATCCTACAGCCGACTGATTGAAGCTATTGAGCCTTGTGCTTTTGATATATGAAAGTAACTTACTGCTTTGAAGGAGATTTGTAGGGTCCAAGCCAAAGTCGGCTGGGGGCCATGCATACAAAGGATACATTCCCTGAATTGAGCTGAATTTCATGATATAGACCAGTCCTATTTTTGTGTGGATATTTTTAATTTTTAATTTATGATTCATAAAACATGCATAACCATTTTTAAAAAAAACTTTCTAGGGTTTATGATGTTGATGCTGTTCAATCTGCACAAAACTAAATGAAAAATGTTTCGACTCACAGAAACTATACAAATTTTGTAAGTAAAACTGTAGTCGAAATGCTGTAAACCGTGGGAACGAGATAACTTAAGTGTGACTACGTTTTAATACTGCAAGGCCAAAATATTCAAGTATTTAGTTTTCTAACATTTCACATAATGACATCATGTAGTTGCCAAGGTGTGCCTGATGCATCTGAGATGGGGAAGGTTTGAGTTGAACTGGGTGTTTTAGCGATGATGATTGACTCTTTGAGTCAAGATATACTGTAAAAGTTGTAGAATAATTATAACTAAAGGATCTTATTTATAAAGTTTATATCTCACAAACAGCATCACCACTGTTGAAAATCTGCTATTAATACAATACAAACTATGATGAGAATATGTTATACCAGAGATTCAAGTCTCAAGTTCCTGTGTGTGAAGTGGCTTTCTGTCTTTCATTGCACCTCTATGCAATCCCTCTGGGTCTGTACATAAGTGAACAAAACATTGAGTCAAGTCTGAGAATGGATATCCATTATTTTGTCAAACAAAAGTTCAGCTCAATTTTCACCACAGCTGTTTTACAGTATGCTTTAGAACTAAGATATTATAGCAGATTACTTCTTCATCCTTTGTTTAGAAAAAGCTCATTTCAGAAAGGCGAAAAACAGAAACTCCATACTCTGCAGAACTTATGAAGTATTTTATCATTAAATACAAAGGTGTGTGTGTGTGTGTGTGTGTGTGTGTGTGTGGAGGTTAGAGGGTGTGAGTGTAAGGTAAGTCGTTGTTTATGTAAATGCTGAAGTCTTTGTGTGAATGACCATACAGGCTTCCAGAATGAGTCGTATATGCTACACGATCCTATGAAATTCCAGCTTTAGGTATCCATTCACTACTTTGCTAGAGATGGCATTCAGGACACAGGGCTGTAGATTCATAAATGAAGTAATACACTCTGGTTTTGTTTAAAAGATGCCCAGAAGGGTGGAGTGCTTGGATCCTCTGTTGGAATGTACGCTGCTGTAATTCTAGCCATGTTTTGGTGTGAAAAACATATTGTGGCACTGTTGAGCAAAGAGCTCTGCTTTTCCCTGCAGGACTGATATTTTGTTTGTTGGCCATTTCCATTTTTCAGTCTTCCATTTGGAGACCAATGGTGACTGAAATCTGAAAGGAGAGGGTGAACTGCAAGTAAATAAAAACGTGACACCTAAAAATAGGTGAATCTTATGACAACTCTACCAGGAGAACAAAGCACT